TTCAAACAGGTAATTCTTGAATATAGTACTGATTTGATCACTGATTCAGTAAAACTCCCAAGTCTTACATTTTAAATTTTTGATTAAATCATTTCACCACATTAGTAAGTAATCCATGTGCAGTTTGGGGATCTAATTTCTCAAGCATCTACTACATGTGTCAGTGGAAACCAAGGGTGGTACTTTCCTCATACACATAACCCTTACACGTTCTGTCTCTTGTGATGGTAACACAGCACCAGCAAAGAGGGAGCGTAAGATGCTAAGGCTGGGACTGCAGCACTGGCCCGAAAACAAGGGCCGCTTTAATGCTAACAAAGGCAGGCACCCAGACTGCAGCACCAAGCTCGATGCGGCTAAGCCAGCAAGGGAAACAGCACAACTGTCCCAGCTCGAGTCTAGATGGCCACCAAAACTCCATGTGGTCTTATTGGGGAATTTTGGGAGGTGGCTGGGTCTGTCGTGTGTGACTCTGAGCGTAAGGCTGTGTGGTTAAAAACTTAGTCCTTGACTGGTTTGGCACAGTTCTGGGTGGGAGTAAGGCGCACCACCAGAGTGAGAGCTCTGCACATCCTCAGCACAGGCTGCCTGGATGGAGCAGAAGGAACGGGAAGACAGACGGCTGCCTATTGCTAGTCACCTGCTGCTTGCTGCTTTGCTTCTCAGAACTTTGCTGCTTTCTTCCTGCCACAGACTGTTTCTCCTCTGTGATGCCACCCTGCCTTATAGCCAGATGATTATGGACTGCAACCTCCACAAACTGTGAGCCAAACATAAATCTCTGCTCCTTTAACTGTGGGCATTAGGTATTTTGTCTCAGCAAGAGAAAAGTAACTAAGCCAACACCCAAAGGAGCACTCTAGCGGCACTGTTCCTCAAAGATGCATGAACTTACAGGCTCCTGAGTTCCAGTAGGACACCATTCATCAGCTGAAAATACAAGGATTAGAGCTCATTTTTATCTTTTCTCTTTCTTTCTTTCTTCCTTTTTCTTTTCTTTTTCTTTTTTTTTTTTTTTTTTTTTTTTCTCCTTTGTGGATAAAAGGATCTCACTATGTAGCTGAGGCTAGCCTGGAACCTGTGATACTCCTGCCTCAGCCTCCAGAGCCTGGAACCTGTGATACTCTGCCTCAGTCTCCAGATTACTGGGATTATAGGTGTGTGCTACTGTGCTTGATTTGTAGTTCATTTCTGAGAGGAAACCAGGAGAGGGCCAGGCCCCTGGAGAGAATTCCTGGGAAATGGCAAGGAATTGAGACTCCAGTCCCCGCTGAGAACCTTGGATAGCAGCATGCAATCAAAGGAGAAACTCAGGCCTCTCTTTGGAGCAAGCATGGCAGCCTGTGAGCCCACTATGGATTTGGACGGCACTTATGAATCCACTGCGTGTTCTCAAGAGACGTAGGGACTACATAAAGCTGTCAGTCTGGACCTTTGCAGCTCCTAGAATTGGATACTGACACTACTGTCACTTTTATTCCCACGCATTTCTCTTTGCCTGATGGTAAATCCCAATTTAGCCCATAGAGTATAAAGGTGATTTGCACACTGTCATGAGAGCAAGTATTCCCAGTGGATATTACTCTTCAGGACAGCCTTGCCTGGAGCCATGTGTTTTGAAATGTCAAGTACTTTCTCTTACACACTGGCAAGTCTTGCAGCTTGTTTGATGTTGCAATCAGGTAACTGATTGTTTAGATCAGCAGATACTCAGATCTCTGCCCTATAGGGACTGCTGACATTGGCATGAAACAGCTTGTTAAATCTGGTTTCTGCTTTGCACCGGAAGCCTGCCAAATGAGGTCTGTACACAGAGATGGCAGCTGGAAGAAATGCTTAATATCTAAACTTGCATTCTCATCTTATGCATCTTTTCAAAAAACTAAAATTTTGGAGGGCAGACACAGTGCTTTAGTTATTTCCATTTAATTGATATGATTAGCTTTGCTTTCTCTCTTTTATTTTAAATCAGGGACTGAACTCAAGGCCATCATACTGTTATATCCGCAATCCATTTTATATCGTTAAATTTTGAGATAGACTCTCACTTAAGTTGCATAGGTTAGATTCAAACTTGTGATCCTCCTGCCTCAGTTTCCCAGAGTGCTGGGATTACAGCATGGATCATGAGATCTGGCTATGACTAGCTTCTTTATATTTGGCATGCAAAATAATTTAGATTATTTATATTGCAGTTCCTCTGAGAAGAAAACTTCTACATCTTCTTCTCTGGTTACAGGGCCATCCGCTACATGTCACAGATGAAGGCTCAGCTGGTTATCATGTGAATCAAGTAACTACTCCTCCAAAATGCATCACCAAACCAAGAGTTATGCTTAATTGCAACCAGGTGTTCGCTTCCGTTAGTCTCAAGGCTTCCCTTTTTAAACATTATCACTGAAGTATTGTTGTTACAGGTCCCTTCAGGAAAGATGAATGTGATTAGTTTATTCTCTCAGCGTTATGGTGTTTTAGTCTCTTTGTAACCAGGGGTCAATCTTTCATTTCTGAGCATTCAGACCAGATATGTGGGCAGGCCTGAACCACAGCTCTCTAAATCCCTATCATTCACCACGAACCTGGTCAAACATGGCATAACATCCATCTGCTGTCCAGATCAAAACATGAATTGGAGCGGTTTGGTTGATACCCAAATTCCTCTCTTCTGAGGTCACTACAGCTTGTTATGATGATGGGATGGTACTAGAAAGAGATGCACACAGATCCAGCAGTGAGTGAAATGCACCAGTTCATTCAGCCGGGTTCTGAGGCTGCTGTCTGGCAGCCTCCCAACCAGTACATGTTTTTACTAGTCAACTGATCACAGCAAAATTCAGGTAGCTCTCGCAGGCAGCAGTGCACAGGAGCGTGTTATGACACCCAGCACTGGCACTGCAGTGAGCTGCAGACTTGTAATAGACACTGGGAGTGTTTCTTGTGCAGAGATTTCAGGATGCCAGCTCCTCCATGGAGAAGCTCTAGGTCTCTTCATGTTCCACAGTGGCTTTCAATCCCACAGAAGATGATTTTTTTTTTGCCTTTTTGAGACAGGGTCTCGCTATGCAGTTCATGGCCTTCAGCTCACTTTGTAACCCAGGCTGCTCTTGAACTCACAACAATCCTTCTGCCTCGGCCTCCTGAGTGCTGGGATTACAGGTGTGCACCACCACACCAGGCTCTAGAAGCTGAATTTTTAAATTTTAATCCTTTGTGCACTTTCCAATTTAGATTGTGGCTTAGATTGTGAAGTTTTCACCAGGATCTTCATGCAGATCTTGGAGATGCCCAATAACACAGTCAAGGCTGAGGGCAGCAGGACAAGGCTGGGCACCAGCAGTGGCCAAACAGGCAGGACCTCCTGGCCAGCGCTGTGTCTTTGTAGAGGAGACATAAATGCGACGTCTGTCCCTGACACCAGCAGCCCAATCAGAATTCAGGGAGGAGAGGTGGTCCGGAAGCCAGGGCCCCTGAAGGCATTTGCTTTACTGAGTTTGAACCTCTGAGAGAAGATACCTGGCTTCCATTTCCACTTTTCCCAGAGAGCTTCCCGGCTTTAGGAAAATCCACTTATCTCTCCGTCTCTTTGAGAATGACGGCATTCTCTGCCCTCAGTCTTTGGTTCCTCTCTGTCTTTGCTGTGTGTGGAGTACAACTCTAAGGCCCACGGATGCTGAGTTTGGCCTGCAGTTTGTTTTGTCCAGAATAGCATAAGTGGAATGGTGAGTTTCAGCTTTGAGCTCACGCCCTGCGATTCATGCTAGGTGTAACGCTCCTGCCATCTACTCATATGAAGGAAGTATCCTGAGTAGCTGCTGTTATTTTGGACACTTTAGAAAGGCAGACTGATGGAGTAAGCTTGAAACTGAGCTGCCATCTGAAGCCATGCCTAGAATTTCTAAGATCAAAAGCCCAGCAGAGTCTAACTGACCTCCAAATCGGTAAGGCAGACATGAATGCATGTTGTGATATGTCACTGAGATGTTTGAAGTTGTTACTCAGCACTGCCATGGTAATAGCTGACTGATGCACTGCATATCCCAGGGAGTACAGGGGGAAAAGGGAGCGTCATGTACCAAAGGAGCTCACGAGAGTCCTCTTGGGACCAGTGCCTGTGGGTAGGAGTGGAAGAAGTATGCCTGGGTGCACAGAAAAGCTGGCACAGAAATGCCACCCTCATGATAGCCTGGGCTGACTCCTAGGGAGCTCCAGACAGAAAAATACCATAAATGATGTTCCATCAGACATGTGGCCAGATCTTTATACACCTGCGATCATCAGTCTCTGAAGAGGACTGTCCCCAAAGGGCATGACTTGGAGAGGTGGCTTTTGTAGGGGAGACAGTCTCTGAAAGTGCTGAACAAACACCATCTGATGATAGTACTCTTGGAACCTGGGCAGCAAGCCTTTCCCTGGAAAAGGCTTAGGCAGTGGCCCATCAAATCTACCACGGCTCTACCCACTGACTGAGCACCACCTGGGGCCTTGCAATGGCAGGATGTTCCTGGATCGCTCCTAGCCTGCACTCCTAGCCCACATACAGTGAGCACGTGGGCATCTAAGGGAGGAAGCTCATTCTGATGACTTTCCTTACACAAATACAGAGCTTGTGACATTTTCATGATTTTGCAACTTGCACCAAAATTCTCTTAGGAAGAAACTTGCCATGGGGATTTGTTCCTGCTGATCTGGAGTCCATCAGGAGACACAGAGGAGAGGGCTCCACTGCAGGCCTGGGGAAAGGAGAGAAAGCTACTTCCAGCTCTGAAGAACAGGGAACAGAGCGGGGAGCCCAGAAGAAGCCAATGGGCGCTGCTTGAGGTAAAGGGAACAGGAAATGATTCTTATGGAGACCTCAGATGTTCACAAAAGTCATCTCCTGGGCATTTGAGTTTCGCAAGCAAACTGTGAACAGCTGAGTTGAAAAAAATAGTCTTTCTTTCTTTCTTCCTTCCTCTTTCTCTTCTTTCTTTCTTTCTTTCTTTCTTTCTTTCATTCTTTTTTCATGAGCCCTAAGCATGAAACAGCTCCGGCACCAACCCAGGCCTCAGGTAGGATGAGCAAAGGACCGTCCTCTGCTCTGCCCCTCACTGACATAAGAACACCACCATCAATCAGGTGTCTCTTGACCCCTTTCCAGGGGGTAAAAATAGTATTTAATACACCAAATGTATGAAAATATAAAAACAATGTTAAATAGACACATGCACGCACACTTGGGATGAACAGCTATCAACACCTGGTTTTATTTTCTTCTGCTTCTTTAATATAGAGATTTTTACAAAGAGAATACATTCTTAGTTTGATGCTTTACTACATACAAACTTGTGATTTCATAAGCTGTAACAATATTGTCATGTGTTTTAACTCAAATAGAACTAGTATTCTATTGTGTGTATTTTTCTGCAAGTTGCTTCTGTCTTCTAACTTTGTTTTCAGTACGTGGCAACGTTCATGTATGGGCATATATTTCATTCATTTTTATCTCCACAGCATGACTAAATGTGTATTTTTGGTCTCATAATGATAAATAATTATGCCGCTTTTTTTCTCTTACAACCATTTCCAAAGCAAAGGTCTTTGAAGAGTTTCTCTAACACAGACACCTGGAGGTGACATTGCTGGTTTCTGGGACATACCTTCTTCACTTTTTTGGTCATATGATCACAATGGTGCTGGAATTGTTAGTTCAGTGGTAAACTACTTGCCTCGTATGCACAAGGCCCTGGGTTCAATCCCTAGTACTACAAAAGGATGATGGTATCATAATAAAAAGAGCAGGATGCCAATTTCCTAGCCTAAGTCTCTAACCCTACTGTTCATGGCATTTGTCTGCAGAGCTTCCTGTACAATGACTGACAAACAGGAGTCATGCAACAAATATCTGAGGAGTAAATGAGTGTCAGGGAAAGCAATCAAGACCTAGAGAGTCAACATGATTACCAGAGGCACATGACTAGTTCAAAGATGGCTCTGGAGGGCACATCTTCTGAGCTGTGCCTTCTACAGTACAACTGAAGTGAATATACCAAAGTTTTGTTCCGGTCCCTATTAAAGACTGGAAAAGACTGTCATCAAATAACCCATTGCCTTCTTATTGAGACCTGGTTTCCTTAATGTATTTTGGGAGGTCACAAATGAACATTTCATTTTAAACCATAAGAATGAAAATAGAGAAACATTTTTCTTCAGGACAGACTTTTTTGTAAGGCCTATCTGAGCTCATATGCATCATGACTATATCTTAGTTAAGAGTGTATATTTTATCCTTTGTTTCAAACTGAAGATTGAACAATAAATGGATGGGGAATGGTGGCAGCCAGCTGTCTTACTGTTGGAGAGGCAGATCACAGATAAGCAAGAGGAGAGGGCTATCCTAAACCATATCCTACTGAATTACAGTTGGAGACATCAGATGAAACTCCTGTTTAGCTTTATGTCATAAGATGGGTAAATACAGAAGCACGTACAGCCACGTATGTGTGCACACAATGGTATACGTGCTTATACTGTCAGGCTCTCACAGGCCTAGAAGCAGCAAGACTCCACTGACAAGCATGCCAGTGCTCAAATCTGGGATTCTAATGCCATTTTCCAACAACCAGGACTCCTTGGAGAAACCATTGATTCTTGACTTAGGGCAGGGAATGTGCAAGATAAACCCAGACCATCTTATGATCCCCCAAAATACAAGAGATAAAACAATAAAATGAGGGAGGTATGTCAAAGGTGAAAATTGAAGAATTCTCCAGTGGCCAAGGCTGGCAAAACTTTAAGCAACAAGGTAAGACAGTATCGGGGTATATATCAAAGTATAAATAAAAATCGATGAACCCATACTCATATAAATAAATGCTTGGACCAGTGAATGAATGAGTAGAGGGAATAATGAAGTCTCCCATATGGAAAATTTCCAAGTAACACACAGAAAATTCCCCGGCAAAAAAGGATGGCCTAATTCCTCACCCCTTTAGTGTAGGCTGTGTACAGTGACTTCTTACAAAAAATGAAGTCTGGAAGGAGTTGAAAAAGAATAACTTACAGTGGAGAAACGTGACAAATGTTACAAATGCATGTGCACAAGTTGCAGGTCCTTGATGATAAGACATGTTGCTCGCAGATACCCCGAATGCTGTGGGATGGGAATGACCTCTGACCTCTGACCTCTGGCCTCTGTATTCTTCCTCCCCAGAAACCTCACTTGCTTATTTATTTATTGTTTTTGTGCTAGGGATTGAACTCAAAACTTTTGCACTGAGTTACACCCAAAGCCCTTTTTGATTTTGAGACAGGGTTTTTTGTGTTGTTTTGTTTTGTTAGTTTTGGTACCAGGGATCAAACTCACGTCCTTGTGCTTGCCAGGCAGGCACTTATGCTGCTGAGCTAAGTCCTCGGCAAGAGAGGGTCTTGATAAGTCACTAAGTTTCTTGGGCTGGGCTCTAACTTGTGATTCTCCTGCCTCCACCTCACAGAGCTTACAGATTGTAAGGATGCCCTACTCCCATGTACCTAATTTTATTCTAGCCAGGAGAAAAACTTTGGACATCTGCCCTGATCAGTTTGCTTCTCAGAGCTACCAAAGTCCTGAAAAACAGAGAAAGTCTAAAAAACTGTCCTGATCTTGAGAACCCCAAGGGAACACAATTCAGTGTGACGTGGTATCCTTGGGAGGGATCATGAAGCAGAAAATAAACACTGAATACACACTAAGGAAATCTGAATAAAATATGGACTTCAATATGGCTCACTCTCATGCAAATGCCAACAGGGGAAACTGGCTGTGGAGCATCAGGAGCCTCTATTTTGTAGTAGCTTTTCTGTGAGCCTGCGAGAACTCTAAAACAAAAAATGATTTTTAAAAAGCCGTACTTAGGAGAGGGGGCTGCTAGCTTTGTTTTCTATTTGTTTTCATATTATTTCATCCTCCGCTGGGTAGCAAAGTTTTCTAGTTCGCAATAGCGGCCCCTGCAGGAGAAGGCCCTTTTACAGCCAGCCGGGTGTCATGAGTGCTTGCACACCGATTTTCCTTTTTGGCCTTTCTCTGGCTTATTAGCGCTGGTGGCCCTTCCCTGGTGGGTTGGCAGCCTTCCTGGACAGGGCAGATTGCTCATTCTCCTGCGCCAGTTCTCAGCCTGAAGGGATCCTTGGCTAAACAGTGGAGACACGGTGGTGGTGGTATCCATTCTGTTCTTTGCTTTCAGTCTCACTGATACTTCTAAAACTCCAAACAGACAGGCCTTTACTAAAGAGTCAATCATTGATTTTTTAAAAGGAATATTCTTTGTCAGAAACCTGTAGCTATGTTCCTCTCTCAACAGTGATTGTCAGCTCCCCCAAACTATGCCATGTTTGCCATTCCCTGCCGTAGAGCGGGTGCATGCCTCACTTACACTACAGGTGACTGTGGACAGTTGGATCCCTGATTGTTCTGGGGTGGACCCTCCTTCCCAGGATCTAGCAATATTTAAGGATGATCTACCCCTAGACTTTTTCAGTCCTATGAACCAATAAAAATCCTTTCTCTTGAAGTCAGTATTTTCCCAAAAACTTAGGCTTGGGTCTGAGATTTCCATTTCAGAACTGATTTGGCCCCTGGGGCTGAAATAAAAGCTCTTCAGAGCCATGGCATCATCATCTTTAGCTGTGATAGTTTGCTGATGCTTGTGGTCAAATGTAGTCTCACAGAACAACTTTGCTTCTAGTGAGCACAGAGGAAGCTAAGAAAGCAGGCCAGTGTATAACAGTAGATGTGCCAAGTCTCCTGGTAGATAATTCATATTTATTGTCCTGGTAATATTGTGTCTTTTAAAATAAAAATCCCCCAATACTATAAACATGGGATCCACATCTTCATCAGAGCCTGATACAGCGACAAACCTTAAGTATCAGTGTATGTGTATCAAATGCATTGATAGAGGATGCATGTACCTTGCTCATTCTAGATCCTTCCACACCCTTTACTGTCATAGAAGTATGTGATTTTTGGCCCCAGAGAGACTTCCCTCCCTGCAGCAGAAACCATTCATTGATCTGATTGCTGCTATGCCTTAGGGAAACTGTCCTCCTGGATTTAGTCCTGTTTAAAGATGATAGATATTTTTCATTTACATGACCCAAGAAAAATTCCTTTTGTGGAAGCCAGTTTGAACTTGGTTCCTGCCACTTGTAATTGAAGGAGTCCTGTTTAATGAACTGGTCCAAAGCTCAGGTCAATGTTATCCATGGGCTCGTGTATTTCCTCTGTAAATGCTCTCAGTGCCAAGGCTTCTCCTATTCCCCACTCTCCTGTTTCTTATCCAAAAGCAGCCTTCTCTCTTCCAGGTGTGTGTGTTCATATGTGCGTGCACAAGTGTATGTGTGTGTGCATGCATGCATGTCTTTCAGTAGGGTTTAAAAAACATCATTTATGAGATGATTTATGGTTGGTTATTTTTCAGGCTCAGTTAACAAATGGTGTTTCAAATGTTGAGATAGAAATTCTTCTTCTCATTTCTTTCTTTTTTCCTCAAAGCAGAAAGTATTGTTAAAGTGTGTCAAGGCAAGAATCTTGGCTTTTGCTCAAAACAATAGTCCAATTTTCAAAGAAAATAAAGTTTTTGTAGCATGTTATTTCATTTAGCCTTTAACACGTGAAGGAGGTGTTGTTTTCATTAATACGAAAAAATCCAGACTCAAAGTTGGAGGCTCATGTATAGATCCATGGTAATGGCGACAAGTTAAAAGGAGAGTGTCTTTCATGTTTTAACAAATGTTAGATGGTTACACTCACTATTATAGCTATAGAAATGGGGACCAAAATGGCAAAGGATGTGTCTCAGGTCACATCATGGGTATGTGCTAGCCGCATCTGCTAAATGGCAAAATCAAAGCTTAAATTCTGACCCAGACACACACTTGTAATTCCAGCTATTCAGGAGACTGAGCCAGGAGGATCCCAAGTCCCAGGCCAGCCTAGGCGACTTAGACCCTATTTGAAAATGAAATTTTAAAAAAAAGGGGGTTGGAGGGCAGAGAACATAGCTTAGTGTACAGTACTGGCCTAGCATGACCAAGGGTTTGGGTTCAATCTCCAGAATAAAGAGGGGATTAATCAGTGGCCTGAAAGTACAGCTCACCAGTGGAACTCACGTTTGGCACATGCAAGGC